TGGGCCTATGTCTTCAACGCCGACACTTCTATTCTATTCTATTCTATTCTATTCTATTCTATTCTATTCTATTCTATTCTATTCTATTCTATTCTATTACATGTTCGCTTCAGATGTCAGCAGGACACTGACTACAAGACGATCTACAAAAGTTTGCTATCATATTAACTGAAATTCTTTCAATTCACGGTCCGATGTTCAAGAAGCCAGGTGCTATGCACTGTGAATTCTTCATGGCACAGCTGATCTATACTCGGGAAATGTACATGTACTAATAAAGGGATATTTTTGTTGCTTTACGGAAATTCAATATCTATTGTATCAAATACGGGCTGGTCAGTCTGGCGTTATGCAGGATCGACAATCCGTTCAATTTCAGAATCCTGTTATCTCGAATCCCCCAAAGAAGAATAAAACTGATTTATGTAATGAATACTAATCAGCATAAGATCTCTTGAAATTCACATTTAACACAGAGCTCCTATTTTTGGTAACAAGATGCAAAAAAAATTTATTTGTGGCCTATTATTAACACGTTTGTTTGTTTGTTTGTTTGTTGTTAACATTGACAACGAAAATTAGCCCACTTCTGATTGTTCTATTAACACGTTTTTCTTAGCTTAGCTTCGCGTTCGTTTGTTTGTTGTTAACATTGACAACGAAAATTAGCCCACTTTTGATTGTTCCAGAGATCTGAATGAGATCTGATCAACAAACAAACAAACAAACAAACGCGAAGCTAAGCTAAGAAAAACGTGTTAAAAAGAGAGAAACACCTGGTGGACAGTGATGACTATAAGGGAGATTGGGAGGACATCTTTTATTTAACCCCTAGTAATTTTAAAGAACCTTGAATACCGTCCCTTATTTAATCAATAAAGACACTCCATTACAAAGTGATAAAGCTACGTTCAAATATTGAGTCCTATAGGCATAATCTGATTGCTGATCTTGGTAAATATTTAGTTATTGAGTATTATTCATGGATTAAGCTTGAGATTCTTTAATCTAGCATATATGTCTAATCTGAGTATTATTTCTTGCTATGTATTATAAATAATGGTTTCCTCAGTTCACGCGTGTGGAATTTCAAAGACTGTTTTGTTATCCACCACATGCATGAGTACAGGGAAGACTCATCAGGCAAGGCAACTGCCCGGATTTTTTGATGGAACTGGCCCGTATGCTAAAGAGGGCACTAGCACTACGAAGTAGCACTATGCACTACGAAGTGTCCTGTTGGTATGCTAAATACGTCACAGATACTAAGCACTTCGAAGTAGCTCTATAATGTTTAGTGTCGCTTAGTGTCGCACTACTGATTGGTATGCAGAAAGACTTTGAAGTGCTACTTCGCTGTTAGAGTACTTTTATAGTGCCGCACTACGCTATGAGTCTATTGAAGAATGGTAGTTAAGTACTTAAGTAATTAATTATTCCCTAAGAAATTCTCATTCTTTGCAGAAGATTGATGTAAAAAGTGCTACTTCAAAGTGCTAGTGCCCTATTTAGCATGCCAACCGTAGTGTTCCATGTCGCACTACGGCTTGTAGTCGCACGCACTACGGCTTGTAGTGCGTAATGCTACTTCGTAGTGCTAGTGTCCCATTTAGCATACGGGCCTATGTTTGCTTCTGTTGAGCTATGTACTTTTTCACTATATATCTGCTAAACTTCCCCCAAGCTTGCTTCTTTAGATAAAAGTCTTATACTAGACCAAGCTCAACATTATTTATTTTCCTGTTTGCTGAAAATGATAAAAGCTAAGATGAACACTCACCGATGTCCGTGCACATATTGCTTTGGTGATTTGCCGTTCTCGCGCAACATTATTAATTAAAAAAAATTCTGTAAGAAGAGTTTTACTGACAGGCAGGGTATAATAATGTACATCCATCAAGTTGTGAGCCAAATTTTAGACTGTAAGCAAAATCAGTTAAATTAAATTGTACCTGTAATCCACCTTTGTTATTGATTGCTTTGTCGACATTTCACTATCAAGACTATGACTTCATCCTGTCGGTAAAGATCCCTCATCTCGATTTATCAGAGGGTCCGATGGGATTGTCCGTGTCGAGGCCCATTCAACAAATACGAGTAAATATGTAACTGAAGCCGTCATTTGTCTCTGACAGTAACGTATGACCGTTCATGGTACATTCTTGAAATTAAAGCGGAGGCTGAAAATAGCCGAATAAATGAAGAAACATAATAATTAAATCAAGCAAACTTCAAGTAAGAAAACGGCTATCATTTCTCAACGTGAGTCTATATCAGTCTTTTTCCCGCAGACTTTCAAACAAAAACAAAATACAAATTTAGAACTAGTGAAAGAAATAAACTAAAAACGCAAAATATGGCAGGGAATGCGCAAGATAGATGAAGAAACAATATTAACGCGAATGTTTATGACTTAAACATAAAAAACACGGGTATGACTAATACAAACATAAACGCGGTTGACAACCACGTATGCAGCGGTATGCTTTTGTTGTGGAATCACAAACCAGAGTGAAAAATTACAAGGTACTTTTACGGGAAGTCACGTTAGTGGAATACTTGAAAACAAATGAGAAATTACTAACCTAACGTTTGATATATCATTGATTTTCCTAACATCGATATCGAAGTGACGAAATTCTGCTAACGAATTGGTTTTATGCCCTCGGCAAGAACTACTATGTTCATACCAGCTCCACAATCAGTTTCGAATTAGAACGAAGTAAGATGGAGTGAAAAGTAAACCAAGTGAATACATTCATATATGTACTATAAGTAGAATTGATAAATTTAGTTAGAAGAGAGTCATATTCTGTAAATTTAATGACGAATGTTTAACGGAATCTTCGATAGAGGTCTATGAAAACTCCCAACGTTGTAACTATTACTACCCTGCCGAATGCGTATTGACAATAATAGTACGAATGCATCAAGTGTGAATGTGGTAGCCGATAACTTATAACATCCATCATTATACATTTCCAGTTTTCGTATTTTACGTCGACAGGAAACCAAGGCGTTTATGGAGACAAACGGCGTTTATGATAGAAGTCCCACTGCATTTAGGCGATTGTGCTACAGGGCCACAATTGCTGCTCAAATATAAAAAACTCTCATAAAAGGACATTTTCGGAAGTATTAGCGAACAAGTATATTTACGCGGATTCATTCATTATTACTGCCAGTGAACAAGCATTACCTGCACTCCATAATTCCCTTTAGTTTGACCAACAGGGGCATAAATTACTGTGTGCATCAATTAATGCACTAAATTGTAATTTCAGTAATAGTTCAGATTTTGTTTTGATAGCGGCGAATGGCGATGATTCTATAATAGTTTCAAACTTGCTTTTCGCTTAGTGCGACGACAACGCCTTCATTTAACATTTGCTTGTAGTGTTTCCAAGCCATCTTTTCTATAGGTCTCATGGGGAATACGTGTTGAAAATTTCCACGAAATGATTATCAATGTCGTGCAGGGATTTGGAATTTGTATCGTATTTTTAGTCCCGTTATGGTTTGGAAACACAAAATATTATCTTTTTAACATTCATATGAACTGATTTTTTATTCTGTTTATTTTGTTTAAACTATTTTAAATCACAGAAAAATATTACTCTTGCATTTAGTGACTTCTAAACATAAATTGGAAGAGCATTCTATTTTGTTTTCATGAAATGAAATGGGTGCAAAAAGTCAAGCGAACATTTCGGGGCTCGTGCGCTTAGGCCAACGTACAAGACCCACAGTAGTTGATGTAATGTGTTTGTGGCTGCATTAATTTCGAAATTTAGGAAACTTTTTGGCCTTGCTCGCTCTCCATGCGTTATTATTTGGAGTTTTATCCTCAAATCGGCCAGGTATAAATAAGCTCCAATCGGAGTTCGAGAGGCATGCCATCTTTTCCTTAGTGCTAGCTAAGTTCCATTTCAATCAGCTCAAGCAACACTCATCTTCATGAAAAGTTCGGTAAGAATTTGATACTCAATTGATTGTTGAATCTATTGATTGGGAGATTGAAAATACTTTTTTAAATATTGAAAGCCGACTTATTTTCAAAACTTTTTGCTGAAATAGTAATTGTATCATAAATGAGCACTGTGGAAATAATGTGAAATGAAATATCGGTCATTACATATGAGCATTGCTTCTGGGAGCGGTGTATAAGCTTATCAATTGCAACCAAAATTTTAAGATCAAATAAATTGCCGATCAAATTCACCAAATCTTTAAAGACATATTCCATCATCAGTTTAAAAACTGGTCCGAACATTAGTTACTGTTCTAGTTCGTTTGGAATTGTCATTGAATAGGCTAATATTTTTTCTTGGTCCGTTTATTCAGCATTTAGGTTTTAATGCCTAATGTAAATTTGTCTTTTATCTTTATTGATCGTACATGTGTTCTCTACGTTATTGAACTCATGGTGGAGCTGGTTTCCCAAACATTTTCGATTAAGAAAATATGAATTTATTAGCCTTTTTGTTTAATTGTGAGTTCTGGGTCAATTTGCGATGTAAGCAAACAAATGATATGAGTATTTATAAAAAACAAAATTGTAAAAATAGTACTTCTTTTCGATAGATTGCTTTAAAAATTTTCCTTGCATGCGTGAACATGTGAAAAAGTTAAAATTGTGTGATTACATTACATATTTGTCATCTTCCGCGCAGTCATTACCGTGAGACTTTTTGTCCTACGACATTTTGTGTAATATCCGAGTATTTTTTTCTGCAGGCCGTCTTGCTACTGTTTGTTTGTGCGGCGCTGTTGCTGCAGCTCGCCAGCACTCACAACAATGACTCGACTTCCATTGGGACGACTACCCAAGCGGGAGAACATGGACCGGAAGGAAGAGCACCTGGCAAAGACAAGCCTTCAGTGGGAGTAACCGAAGAAGGGAGCAAATCACCTCATGTAACGGTGACTGATGAAGGCATCCCAAAGTCCAATGTTGGAGTTCATGATGAACTAAAAATTGAATCTTCTTTTAGGAAAGTAAACGCGCCGCCTTCTGCACGAGTGGCTGATGAGAGTAGCAAGCAGTTCACACTGAAAGATACTGAAAAAAATATTGAACATGTTTTAGGAAGACTAGCAGACGAAGACACAAGACAATCCCCCCAGACACGGACCCCTGACGAGGACAGCAGCCAACCACATCGCACGTCAGGCGAAGATGAGGGCAACAAAGTCAGGTTCTTCTTCGGTGGCTACAGCACCCTCACGCACACCATCGTCTCGTTCAGCACCTCGACCACGCCAGTGACGTGCTTCAGTGGTTATGTCCTCGACGCCGGTGCAGTGCCCATATGCACTGGACGACGCAAGAGGAAAAGAGAAGTTCTCAATTTCGACAGGTGTGTGCACAACTCTCACTGGGTACTATTTCTTCTCTAAGCTCTAAATCAACACACAAACCTATTCCGTCAAAAGTTTTCAAAGAATCTCCGTTTCTGTTTCAACTATACCCACCAATCCATCTGTGGATTTTTCTGCCATCTATGATCAATGTAGAAGTTATAGTCCCATAACTATTATTAACCACGTCGTGCTTAATTGAGGTTGAACATTTGCCAGTAGCTGATATATCATCAATAAATTCGCTCAAATTTAGCAGCAGAACAATCAGGCAGCATTAGCAAGCGCTGCTCCTCTACTCCGAGCTCGTGAATGCTGGCTGCACTGAGCTCTTGCATCATTTGGATTAACCAGCTCTGCAGCTGGTGGCAAAATTATACAAATTTTTATCTTCACCCAATTCACATTCTTTAAGATCTAATTCAATATTGCACCAGTAAAAACGTTGGTTTTAGTGATTCGTCGATATTATTTTCACAGTAGAATAAGTAAGTATATGGATTAATTCTGGCTTCAAACTTGGAACACGGGTGGCATAAATGTTTTTATTTAAATATAGAGCGCACCTATGCATTTACTTTATTTTTCACTTCAAAATTTCATTAGTTACGGGCCGCAATTTTCATTCCATCAGTGCAATGGATTAATTACAGAGCAAGTCATATGACTAAAAAATTTATTTTGCATGCTTTAACCCTGAATTATTTATATATAACGACTCATCCTCAAATTCGCAGAGAAAGTGATGCATCTGAGGTCACGATTGACTCTTCGCAAGATTCAGAAATTGAGTCTGGTGGAGATTTTGAAGATGACTCGAAGAAGTTCTTCACAATTTGGACTAAGGTCCTCACTACCACAACGTTGACCACATTCGTCGAAAATGCTGCCACGACTCTGTCTCTCGAGTATTACTGTTCAGCTGGAAACCTTGATATTCCGCTTATTGGCTGCTGAAATTAATAAGCGATCATTCAAGATAAAGGGTTTAATTTTTCCATGGAATATGAGCTGCATTTCTCGATGCTTAATACACTGTAGTGTATTTAACGGAGGGACTCAAAGTAACTTCAATACTTTCTTTAGAGGAGTCCAAAAACTGTAAAATATTGGCACTCAGAATCTAGACGTATTATTTTTCCCCTCCTAAACTACAAGCTATTCATGAATTGAATGAAGAAGAGTTGTAAAATTCTCAGGGTTACGATTCAGATATTTAAGTTTACGATTTAAATAAAATATTGCGAAATTGAGACGTATTTCTGAAGTAGAAGTTGCAATACGTTCGGTGATCGACTAGATGAGCGATGCTGCATGTGGTGTGAACCGAGCAGCTTTGGGGGCGCAGCCGTAGTCCGCAAATTTTACTCATTAAATAAGCCCCGGAGCCAACGCCCACCTTCCATATGAGACGACGCTGCTGCGAATTGACACAGTTATTAGAGTGCTTCTCTTTGCTAAGCTGCGTCAAGAATTAAATGACTATTGATCGTCTCATACGAGCCATGCAACATCTTTTTTGATGTTCAAAGAGTTATTATTTTCATTATTATTCTACGAAGTAGTTATCGTGGCGTCTGCTCGAAACGAAATTCGATGGCACGTTACGCATAAGTTGATTGACGAAAGAAAACCACTGCATTGAACCCCCCAACTCTAAAATCCTCGTACGTAAATATTTAGAAGTCTAGCACAATTTTAGCAGTTTAATTGGCAACAATTTCACTTCAAGCAAAGATACTATTATTGATTTGTTCATTTTATACGACCTCCCTCTGAATTATTCATTTGAAAGTGTAATCAAAATATGTATGTAACGTATTCACAGCAGTTCTTCGCAATTGATCTGCAAAAAAAGACTAGGTGGCCCAGTGGTTAAAGTTCAGAAGACCAGGATTGGAGCAGAGAGTTGCAGGTTCGATCCCAGCTCTGTGCAACGGTTTCTGGTTAGAATTGGCGAAGAGGCCGGGCGGTTAAGCAAAGCAAAATTAGAGCAGTGAGTTGCGTCTTCGAGACCGCAACAAGCTGTGAATGTTGTGCGACGTTGAAAATAGGCTATAGGCCTACGGCATAGAGAAACATTGAAACCGCTGCTATTATTATTAGAGCGCTTCACTACAAAGGCTTCACTTCATCGGAGGGTTTTAAAGTCGATCTGCTGGTTTTTGCAAAAATGTGCATATTAAATTGCACGAAAACATGAAGATCCAAAATCTTATAATTTAATTAATTTATAAGCACTTAAGAAAATTAAAACTTATAAAAATCACAATTAAATAATTAAATGAGGATAATTAGTCGATAAATTCCCCATTGCGGACTTTACAGATCGCGGTCGGATTTGAAACGCGATGGGAAAGGGATTATTGTAGAGTCCAAATGTATGCTTATTTCCCTGAAGTGCATAATTATTGTGCAGAAAAATTGATGCATCGCACAATGATACAGCAAGTGGTGTATATAGTAGCGCGGAGGTTTGAATAAAAGAAATTTTTGGTCCTGGCCCTTGATGCCCGACCAAAAAAAAATATGACGCCTATAACTTTACCAACATCAGCAGTCACATCGATCTATATAGAGATGCCAATTCCAAACGAAAAATTACTAATGGGCATTACGTACGTATATGCAGTGTGCTATCTTCTTTCGTGTATTCATTTCCTAAAAAAATGAAAAATAATTTCAGAATCTTGTATCAGTATCCTTTCCTGAGGTAGAATTTTTTCAGAACCTTGCACAATACAAGAGTGCACTCCTTTTCGTTTCATTCGTGCTAAAGAATTTTCATGAATGGAAGAGTAAAATTCAAACGTCAATTAGTTCAGAAATGGACACCTACAATTTAATCTTTTCAATGATATTTTCTAGTTTAATAATTTTCAGATTTGCCGCAATGCCATTAAGAATTACAAAAAAAATGCGGATTTTAACATAGCTTTTGAGTTAAGTGTTCAATTTTCAAAAGTTAAACGTAAACTATTGTGGTGAGGTTTTCGAATAAATTTAGGTTTTTTAATTATGAATCAGTAGATACAATATGGCAAAAATTTATTAAAAAATCTATAGATGCAAGACCTAACTTGACCATGCAGTGGCTGTTGCGAGTGTCTGTGGGCGGATAACTGTATAGGCATTGTGAGCAATGGAACGATGAAATGGGCTTGGGCCTTTGAAGATGACACTATCATAGCGAAGAACGAAGCCACTCCATCTTTAACGATGACTTGGCTCCACCAGTGGATTGTGCACATGAAGGAAAAAGAACAAGTAATTGATGATTTCATAGTTATCTGAAGAATTTCCTGTAGTCTCAGGAAGTTTTCTTCCTGATATTGGGCCCGAAAGTTTAAGTAGTTTAGAGTTGGGTCCACAGAAGGTGCCCAAAAAGTTGACTTACATTCACATGTGCATCAAGATGGGAGCGCAGCCGTGCACCACCAATTTTGTGCACCAATAAGCCCTGAATCGAACGCCTTGGATCTCTCCGGACTTACACCAATCAGCCGTGTACCACTCGGCTTTGTCCTCTTCCGGCCTTGACCACCACCAGGCCGCGGATCGAATATGACTTCTGGGCATCGTTAAATTACGTAATTTTACGTTCACCGCAACTGAGGTTAGGTTTCAGATAGCATAGTTCTGTTCCAAAATTAAACGTCCTTCGACAAGTGGCCGTTCGACCGAGGGCTGGTTCGACCCACGGCCTAGATACGGACGGCTTGAAGTGTTGAAGGCTACGTTCCGGAAGGCAGGAATCATGATGGTCCATTACATCCAGGGCAGTAGTGGTCTTCTGCAGGCGACCCCATCAAGATATCTCTCTCGAGCGATGCAGTAACGATCAAGAACATTTTTAGCGTATTTTCTCATTTATGGAAAAAAGGCGCTACTGTGCTCGTTATGTTCGTCCGTCCATCCGTCTGTCCGTAACTTCACGTTTTCGTCGATTTTGAGAAAATGCGCACTCGGTCACTCATGGCACTGAGAGTGCTGAGTTATATTTTTTCATCTATACTTTCACAGGCAACGAAACATGGGTTGCATACGTTATAGCCGAATTCACCTTTGCCCAGGCAACTCAATGTCACATAAATAAAAGCTGTTCAGACGTTCTTGTTCTTTGTACTTTCGAACAGACTTGGTGTGATGCTGGAAACACACCCTTCCAGGAATTTCCACATATTTAAGGTTTTCGTTCACATCTGAATTACTCGACTACTTTCTCTGGTTATCGTGAGGTGAAGAGAACGTGTTGCCCTAGATCAGGGCTCAATTTTCACCAGTATTTTAGACAACTTACTGTTTTTTTTGCTTCTTTAGAGCTTCTGATGCAAGTCAGCCCGATCAAAGTACTGTAATCACATTCATGTGAACAGGATATTTCTGCTGGAAAATTTAAATAAATATATTTGTAGTTTAAAAAAGGTTCTGCTTTCAATGTTGGAAGTATTAATGCTCAAATTATGCACCAAACAGATTACTTAATTCAATTAAAGGCACAATTTATTAAACGATTATTGATTGGGATGTGAGGTTACTGTGGTAATTTTTGTATATTTAAAACTCCTACAAAAGTTGTCAACAATTTTCTGCCCTAACTAAGGTAGGTAGGGCAAATGAAGTGTCTCTCCTTAGTCATTCGGAGTGAACAGCAAGAACTAAATTTGGTTTCTCCTCAAACGTAATGGTTTCAAATTCAACTTCAAATTTTGCTTTACGCGTATTCTTCACGTCAGTATTTAACCCTCTAAAGGCCCGTTCACACCAGGGGCAACACTCGGGCGTCAGGCGCCTCACCGCCCCTCTACGTGCGCTTCTCGTGGGCAACGAAGCGATTGACGAGCTAGCGGTTCACAGGCGCCCTGGCTCATGCAACACAAGCGCTGCACTCACTGGACGGCTGTCTGTGGTCTAGCGAGGTTGTTTGCATACGCTGGTCCTTCACTATGGCAACTAACGCCACACTTGTTTGGACTCGGTCTCTAGTAGAGGCTAATTGATGTTTGTAGAAAGCATGAATGCCTGTAGAGAGTTCAGTCAAAGGAGTATAAAAGTCGGTATGCAAAAGAACAAGCTCTGGTGAAAATAGTTGAAGTTAAAACTTTTCTGTACAAGTAACAATTGACGAGGTTCGCAAGAAAATTCATACGTTGCGTTCGCAAATCCATCGTGATTAATGAATTTCATTGCAAATGAATTCCATTGCATGTGAATTCCATCTCAATTCCATCATCCTGCTTCTGGTTGAGTGGCATTATTTTCCTTAGCAGACTGTCAAACAAGTCCACTGGCAGTCTAGTATAATTTCGAAAGTCTGATGCATTCGCAACTGATAATTATTTGAAAATATAATTATGAAAATCGTGTTTATATAAATCTTAACAGCAACACACCCGAGAACAATGGCCCAGAGCTCAAATTCGGTTGTATCCATCTCCACTGACGCCTTATTAACTGGCATCTAATCTCAAAAGCGCTGTTTCGAGCTACCGCGTACAAAAATAAGTGTGAACGGTTGTGGGCGGTAGGCGCTGCAGGCTGCAGCAAGCGCCTCACCGTTCACCGCCCGTGTCGTTGCCCCTATAGTGTAAACTGGCCTTAACAGTGCGCTGACAACACTCGAGATCAAAATTAAGGATTGGCCATCCTTTGGAATGATGGCTGACACAATTTTTCTCTTTTCTCGTGCATTCTTGTGACGACGTTCAAGATTTGGTTCGAAATTGTATACAAGAGAATGCTGAAATAGCTGATCCATTTAATTTTTATACTCAAATTCACAATAGCTTCCTCATAATTAAACACTATAATCGACTGCATCAAATCGTCAACAGGCCAGTGCCGACATATTTCTTCAGTGCCCGACACTTCTATTCAATTCTATAACTATAAGTTTGGATGTTTGTTTTAATATCACTCCCATTTTATAAACCTTTTTTTTCATTTTTGTCATTAATGACATGTCACGTCATGACATGAATGACATGACTCGATTTCGATAAAATAAAAAGATACGAAAACCGGGCGAAAGCAGTAAACGTCAGAAATATGATTTTACATTCCACCCTTCACACAATCAAATCCAAAGCAAATCATCTGCCCAAAAATTAAATAGCACGATT